TCACTTTCTGCCATAAGGGTGGTGTCATCTGCATATCTGAGGTTATTGATATTTCTCCCGGCAATCTTGATTCCAGCTTGTGCTTCTTCCAGCCCAGAGTTTCTCATGATGTACTCTGCATATAAGTTAAATAAGCAGGGTGACAATATACAGCCTTGACATACTACTTTTCCTATTTGGAACCAGTCTGTTGTTCCATGTCCAGTTCTAACTGTTGCTTCCTGACCTGCATATAGGTTTCTCAAGAGGCAGGTCAGGTGGTCTGGTATTCCCATCTCTTTAAGAATTTTCCACAGTTTATTGTGATCCACACAGTCAAAGGCTTTGGCATAGTCAATAAAGCAGAAATAGATGTTTTTCTGGAACTCTCTTACTTTTTCGATGATCCAGCGAATGTTGGCAATTTGATCTCTGGTTCCTCTGCCCTTTCTAAAACCAGCTTGAACATCTGGAAGTTCACAAATGGACTAAAACCACTGAATTGTACTCCTCAGATGGGCGAGTTATATATGTATATATTATATATATATAGTCACTATTATATATATACACACACTATTATATAAATGTATATAACACAGTATTATATACACAATATTTTATATATAATAGTGTGTGTGTATATAATAGTTGTGTGTATGTAATACATATACTATATATCCACATATATATACACACACGCTATTACATACACACAACTATTATATATACATACACACTATTATATATACACACACACTAATGTATATACACACTATTATTTTTTTAATTTATTTTTTAATTGGAGGATAATTGCTTTACAGAATTTTATTGTTTTCTGTCAAACCTCAGCATCAATCAGCCATAGGTATACATATATCCCCACCCTCTTGAATCTCCCTCCCATCTTCCTCCCCATCCCACCCCGCTGGGTTGATACAGAGCCCCTGTTTGAGTTTCCTGAGCCACACAGCAGATTCCCTTTGGTTATCTATTTTAGATATGGTATACACACTATTATATATACACACACTATTATATAGATTATTATATATACTGATATTATCATATAGATAAAATTTTATAGACACACACTATTATGTATACACAGTATTATAGACATGCACACTATTATAGACACATTTATATATACACAAACTATTACAGATACACACTATTATATACAATTATATATGCACCCTATTTTATATATACACGCATTTTTATATACGCACCATTGTGTGTGTTTGTGTGTGTGTGTACACATATATACATGGGATTCCCTGGTGGCTCAGATGGTAGAGTCTGCCTGCAGTTCAGGAGACCCAGGTTCAATCCCTGGGTGGGGAAGATCCCCTGGAGGAGGAAATGGCAACCCACTCCAGTATTCTTGCCTGAAAAATCCATGGCTGGAGGAGCCGGGTGGGCTACAGTCCATGGAGTCGTAAAGAGTCGGACACGACTAAGCACCTTCTCTTTCTTCACTTTCACTTAACTATATATATGTATACAGACACTATTATATAGACACACACTATTATAGGTACACACAGTATTATATATACACACACACTGTTACAAATACACACATATATATACACATTGTATATATTATACAGACACACACTGTTATGTACATATTGTTGTTGTCTAGTCACTAAGTCATGTCCGACTCTTTTGTGACCCCAAGAACTGTAGCCAGCCAGGCTCCTCTAAGTATGGGATTTTCCAGGCAAGAAGACTGGAGTGGGTTGCATTCCACTCCAGTGGGAACCCTTTCTCCAGGGGCTCTTCCCAACCGAGAGATTGAACCCACGTCTCCTGCATTGGAAGGCGGATCCTTTACCACTGAGCCACCAGGGAAGCCCTTTTACATATATATATATATAGAGAGAGTATTATATTTATACATACACACACACTATTATACACCCAATTATACATATTCACACACTATTATAGATACCCTATTACAGATACACATGCTATTTCATATATACACACTACAATATATACATGCACACTATTATATACACACAATTATATATATATACACACACTATTAAATAATACACTAACATACACACACTAGTGTATATACACAGACACTATTATATAGAGACACACACTATTATATAGACACATTATTATATACATGTGTGTGTGGATGTGTGCTCAGTTGGGTCCAACTCTTTGTGACCCCATAGACTGTAGCCCACCAGGCTCCTCTGACCATGGGATTCTCCAGACAAGAATACTGCAGTGGGTTGCATTTCCTCCTCCAGGGGATCTTCTCAGCCTAGAGATTGAACCTCATCTCTTGTGTCTCCTGCATTGGCAGGGAGATTCTTTACCACTGCACTACTTATTACATATATACACACACACTATTATACACACACACATGCTATTATATATGAATACAATTATGTATACACAGACTATTACATATACACACACTGATATATATTCACACACAGTTTTATGTATATACACACTATTCTATATATATATGTATATATATACATGATTATGTATATAATATGTATATACACACTTTGAGTTATATCTCAGTGAAGTGTTAATACCAAAGCCAGCCCCTCATACAGTCTGGAGAAGCTGCAGTGTGCGCTGAGGTGAGCCCCAGCCCATGGGCAGGTTCCGAGGGAGCTGGCGTCCTGCCCCGACCACAGCCCTCTCAGCTATGGGAGCCGCCTTGCTGGAACCAGGTCACACCGCCGGTTCGGGACGGGCCATGTCCAGTCCAGCGTGTGTGGGGCTGTAGGGCCTCACGGGGTCAGATAAAACCCGTGGGCCCCTGCTGAGGGGAAGCAGGAAGCATGTGGGGCACTTTGAGTATGATTTCAGGGTGCCCTGGTCTCCAGGTCGGGGTGTCCGTGTAGGGGTCGCTCACCGGGTCCCATGCGGCAGACGGACAGAGAAGGATGGGGAGACATGGTGGGGAGCTGGCTCCACCGACGGGATCCCCGCATCCAGAAATCCTGCCTCGGTCCTTCCCCCCGTGTCCCCAGGGCTCTGGCACCAAGATGGGCCTGGACGACTAGGGCCTCACAGTGGCCCTTGCTGGGTCTGACGCGACCCTGCTGGTTCTCAAAGTGCACATGGGCCTTGGCCAGCCTCCCCCCATCAGGGCAGACGGGACAGCCTCTGAGAGCTGCAGACTTGCCCTGTGCCTTCAGGGGTGCAGGTGGGGGACGCCACGCGGGAGCCCGTGGGCTGTAGCCACGGCTTATCAACTGATGACCGCCGATGAGCTCCGTGTTCTTAATTGGTGCCACGTTACTGGCTTTGCCCCCACGAGCTTCCTGCCCCTCGTCTGTCGTGATGACAAGCACGGGTTCCCGAGGGATCATCCACAGGGCGCTGCTTCTCCACTTCCACTCCGAGGGGCCCAGGCAGCAGCCACACTGAGGGACTCAGTCTTTCCCTATTGCTTAGAAACCATGTGAGGGAAGAGCTTCCCCAACACTGCGTTTTTACTCCTAGGCTAATTCTGTCTTGGCGGCCCGCTCCCAGGTGAGGCGGCGGGCTGGCAGGCGGGGGGGGATCCTGGAGGCGGCTGCTCGGGGCCCTGCACTCCTGCTCACGTGATGACGTGCACAATCTCTGTGTACGGCACACCCTGTTTTCTTGTAAACTTGTGTCCTGGTTAGCACAGGGGCAGTCTGAAATAAACAGAACCCCGTGGCTTACAAGGTAGCGAGGGGTCTCCAGGTGGAGCCCATGGAGTAGGTCCCATGGGCGCCAAGGGGTGTGTGGCCAGGCTGCTCAGAGCGCTCCGGGGAAGGGAGGAGGCCCCTGGAGGATCAGGCTGTGATCATCTCGGGGGACTGGCTGTTGGGAAGCAGGCCCCTGGAGCCAGGACAAGAGGCAGGAAGAAGTGGAACCCAGAGGCAGGTGAGACCCTCCATCTGGGTGACCCAGCCCTGCCCCCAGCGTGTCTCATGCGGACTCAGCTGGGGAGGGACAGGCCTGAGCGCTGGGCCAGAGGCTGTCCCTCTTCTAGTTTCTGGGCCGTACATCAAGCTCTTTTGGAGTCATGGCCCCTGTGTCCAGCCTGGGGTGTGGGGTCCCCACGCTGGGCCTGTGCCCCCACACAAGGGCAGTGCTATCACCAACTCTGAGTAACTGTGGGGAACCATCACCCTGAGTGCTAAGGGGAGTTGGGCCCCACCTTCTCTCAGCGCCTGGAGACCACGGCTCCCACCCACTAGGGGAGGTTTTCTCAGACTCCCTGGGTGTGTCTCCTCCACGTCCACAGGGTTAGCAGCACCAGCCTGTGGCGGCACTGTGGTGGCTGGGACAGGGTCTGGAGGGAAGAAATGCTGGGCTGGGGGCCAGGGGCCAGCAAACCCATCCTGGCCTGTGTCCTGGGAACAGGAGCTGCGCAGCTCTTGGCTCAGCCAGGTTGAGCAAGGCCCCTTCACACAGGGTGGGACAGAGGCTAAGCAGTTGCCTGGGGCAGGTCAGAGCTAATGTGCAGGCAGGCTGCACTCCTTGGGCCCTGGCAGCCTCTCTGTGCCAGGCCGGTGGGTCCCACCCCTTCCTGCTCCAGGCCGGCCACCTGGAGCACAGCCCACTTTGCGCGCTGGTGGAGGTGGCATCAGTTCAGTTCAGCTCAGTTGCTCAGTCATGTCCGGCTCTTTGCGACCCCGTGGACGACAGCATGCCAGGCTTCCCCGTCCATCAGGGAATAGCCACCCCAGAACCCTCGTCTCTGCTCAGGGTCACACTGAGCACCAGCCCACCCCTGGAGGCTGAGACGAGTCAGCCTAGGTCTAGTCTGTGGCCAGGACCTGGGGAGGAGGGGTCCTCAAGCAGGACTGGGCTCGTCCCAGGCCAGGTCCCGCTCTCGAGTGTGGCCTGCCCCGTGCCCGCAGCGGCTGGAGGGCACCGAGACCCTGGAGGGGCTGTCGGGCGAGGTGCCCTCCAGTGAAGTGTCAGGCGCCCTGTCCTGGCCCATCCTGTGCCCTCACCGCCTTCCCGTCTCTCCCACCCAGGACTTCCCATTCCCGGGCCAAGGCGGAGGCGGCCCTCACCGCGGCCCAGAAGGCCCAGGAGGAGGCGCGCATTGCCCGGATCACTGCCAAAGAGTTCTCCCCTTCCTTCCAGCACCGGGAAAACGGTGAGTCCGTGTGGCCGGGGTCCCCGGATGCCTCCCATGGGCTGTGCCCCAGAGCCCCCTGCCAGCCCATTGCATCCCTCCTGCCCGCCTCTCCCCCAAGACTCCAGTGTGCTCCGCGCCCCACCAGGGCTGTTCTAAAACTCTGTCCCTGCTCTGTCCAACCAGGTGGCTGCCCGCCACGCAGAAACTGTGGCCACTGTGGCCCCTGGCCTGCTCTTCAGTCCACATTTAAACATCAGCGGCCACACATGACCAAGCTGGTGGCCGAGCTGGTCAGTGAAGCTCGGAGATACTCAAGGGGCACCCACCTGTCCTCTCGGAGTGGAGAATGGATGAAAGGAGTTAGAAGCCCCTCGTGTTAGCCAGACCCAAGATCCTCCTCCCTCCTCGGGAGCAGTGTGGGGTGACTGGTCCAAGGGTCTGCCAAGGCCGAGGTCTTTCCTAGCAGCCCGCTCCTTACCCTCCTCACACAGCTCAGGATCACTCCTCTAGACACACGTTTCCGAGAACAACTAGAAGGCTCTTGAGGCGCTGGGGTGGGCTCTTGAGGTCCCGTCCTGGGACCACCCTCCAGAGCTCTGCTCTCAGCCCTGCCTTTGGGGCAGCCTAGAGAACCCCAGAACCCAAGATGGGGACACAGGCAGTGGGACTGTCACTTAGGCTCCACGTCCTGCCTTGCGGAAAGTCACCCAGCATGAGATGTTCTGTCCTCAACAGGAACGCATGGGGGTGCGACCTGGGGATGCACTCTCAGGTCACCCCTGCAGCTGGGGGCCACCCCATCATCCTGATCCAGTCACCCTCAAAAGTGCCCACAGATGAGAATGGGTGTCTTCTCGGGGCTTTGAGAACACTGTCCTCCCACTTTCTCTGCCCCGCACCCCCCACTCCCGGGTGGCAGGCAGTGAGTGCCACCTGGCCCAATCCTGGTCCCCTCCATTCTCAGGCGAGACTGGGCCTGAGCACAGAGCACCCGAGTAACCAGCCCACCCTAACCTGTCTCCTCCCTGCTGCAGGGCTAGAGTACCAGCGGCCGAAGCATCAGCTTTCCAGCGACGACATCGAGGTGACCTCCACGGGGACACCCCCGCAGCAGGAGAGCCCCGAGCTGTACCGCAAGGGCACCACCCCCTCGGACCTGACCCCCGACGACAGCCCCCTGCAGAGCTTCCCCGCCAGCCCCACGGCCACCCCACCCCCGGTCCCCGCCGCGAGGAACAAGGTGGCCCACTTCTCCCGGCAGGTCTCGGTGGACGAGGAGCGCGGGGGGGACATCCAGATGCTGCTGGAGGGCCGGGGAGGGGACTACGCCCGCAACAGCTGGGCCGAGGAGAAGGCCGGGGGCTCCCGCGGCATCCGCAGTGGCGCCCTCCGCAGCAGCCAGCCCGCGGATGACTTCCGCATCCGGGGCGCGGGCCACAAGCAGGCCGGCAACCCCAAGCCCCGGGAGCGGCGGACGGAGTCCCCCACCACGTTCTCCTGGACTTCCCACCACCGGGCCGGCAACCCCGGCCCCGGGGGCCCCAAGCTGCTGGAGCTGGACGAGGAGAAGCTGAGCAACTACGAGATGGAGATGAAGCCCCTGCTGAGGATGGACTCGTATGCACAGGACGTGCACCCCCCGAAAAGACGCTACAGCAAGGGGGGCGCCGGCCGGGGCCCCGGGGAGGACCACCGCGCCGACGACCGGGCCTTCGGGGCCCAGAGACTGCGGTCAAAGTCCCAGAACAAAGAGCACGCCAGGCCGCCCCCCTGCACGGAGCCCGCAGTGCAGAGGCTGGAGAGCCTGAGGCTGGGGGACCGGGCAGAGCCGCGGCTGCTGCGCTGGGACTTGACCTTCTCCCCACCCCAGAGGTCCTCGCCCGTGGCGCTGGAGTCTGACGACGAGAACGGGGACGAGCTCAAGGCCAGCACGGTGAGCGGGCACCAGCCGTCCGGGGCGGGGTCGGGGATGGGGGCTGAGCGGAGAGAGCCTGACCCTGCGCATCCAGCTCTCAGGACCCTCCCCCGCAGGAAGCCCACCTACGGGGATTCCCGAACTGCCTCTGATAGGTCCACGCGAGGGTTACTCCCCCGGGCCATCTTTCCAGCAAAAGCGCTTGGGTGGTTCTGAAAGCTCCCGCAAGAGAAACGGGCACCCTGGAACACGCCCCCGCCCAACCTTCCTTCAACTTTCTCGGACCTCTCCCCCTGCTGTCCTCACCTTTAAGGAAAGTTCTGTGTCCTGGAGGGAAACCCAGAGGCCAGACAGAGCAGGCGGGACACACGCATGTCCGCTCCCACGTGGGTGAGATGGACACAGTGCCTCAGGCCAGTGGGATCAGATAGGCCAGGCGGGCTGTGACCCAGGTTCCTGGGGCCCCGTGGAGGGTGGGGTGCCTCCTGCTCAGCTGTGAGGTCCACGTTGTCTCGTGTACGCCCCCCACGGAGGGCAGGCAGTTTGGAGGACAGGACAGAGGCCTGAGCCAGACTGAGTGCTGGGGCTCTTGCACCCCGAGGGACCCCACCAGGTCCCTTGCTCCCCCCACCGCTGGCTCGCTCCCACCTGGAAGCAGACGCCCCCTGCTTCCTCGACTGCATGACGGCAGGCAGGACCCATGAAACCTCTCCAACCACGGCCCAGCGGCTGACGGACGCCCCATGTGACCAGCCCTCGGGGCCCCTCGCAGCGTGCTCAGCCCCCAGCAGCCACTGTGAGCCTGGAGGGCTGGTCCTGAGACGCGCCCACCCTCTCTGAACTCAGGCGGTCCTCGCGGACCAAACGCCCAGCTCTCTTCCAGAAACACGCATGGTGTGTGTGCACATGCACACGGTTAGTTTAGGAAGCCGAGCATCGGGCAGGGTGGGAGATGCAGGAAGGGCTCTATATTTAGCCCCCTGAACCACGCTCCTGCTTTAAAACCTCTTAAAGCGCATCTTGGGTGCTTTAAGACAAAGCTACTTACAGGAGCGCCACCACTGCCGAACCCTTCCATGGAAAGGCTTCCCACAGAGACCTGGGGTGGCCGGCGCAGCCGCTCTGTTCTCCCTGTACAGCCCTGGGGCCTGCAGAGGCTTGAGGATGAAGGGCCCCGGGAGGGAAGGGCCGAGGTCTGCGTGCCCCGGTGGGCTTCTTGCCCCAGGACTGCACAGGGCGCTCCCGTGGCTACACACCGCCATCTCGGGGAGAGGACTGGGAGAGCTCCGCCCTCCCTGGGTTGGGGCCACGCTTGGGTAGAGGGGCCGCTTCTGAAGCCTGGTTGTGCAGAGCTGGAGGCAACGACACCGCAGGCCAGGGGGCGGCTGTGTTCAGAGACCCGGGGCGGGAGACGTGCAGACCTGAAGGGCTTCAGAGTCCAGACTTGGACGCTCATGGGAGCCTCTGACTGGTTCCTAAGCGATCCATGTCCATTTCCCCCTACCCAGCCCCCTGGGAACCCCTAGTCTGGCTCAGGAGGAGGGGCAAGCCACAGGCTCACCTCACCTTTTCGCCTTCTGTTTCAGGGCTCGGCGCCGATCCTGGTTGCCATGGTGATCTTGCTAAACATCGGAGTTGCCATTTTGTTTATTAACTTTTTCATCTGAGGAGATTGTCACGTTTGCAAAAAAACAGTTGGGGTACAAACGGGGGACGTTTCAAAGCGAAACAACAAAAGGGAAGGCTCGTCGCTTGGACACCCAATGACAACTTCCGAGTCTTTTCACAGAACCACACGATTGGGTATTACTCACAGTTTGCCTTTTTTTCTGGGTAATGTTTTTTGGATTTTAGCCACAGTTCCTTGCTTGTATAACACTATGCTGTGTGGCATGGCAGAAGGAGGCCAGCACGCCGACCCTCCAGCTTGACGTGGAAAGAAAAGGGATCCCGGCAAGTTCGCGGCAAAAAAAAAAAAAAATCAAACCGTCGCTGTCATCACACTTCATCTGGGACGTGGAGGGGGCAGCCTGGGCGGAGGATCAGTGGTCCAGCTGTGGGGGGCGGGGCGGGGGCCAGCGGCTGGGGATGGCCGCACATGGGGAGTCCGGTAACCCTGCGTTCCTGTTCTGGACGAGCGTGTGACAGGCGTGGGCATCCCCCTGGGCCTTGTTCCATCTCAGACCTCTGCTGCACACCCCGGGGGGCGCCCGTGAAGCCATCACACCCCGGCCCCTGGCGCTGCCCCATGGCCCTCTAGAGGCCGCCTCCCCACACCGTCTTACAGCAAAGTCCTTATTTTTCTGTCTCTCCCTCCCCCACCAACCCAGGCCCCCAGGGCTGCTGCACAGTGGGCTTCCAGGGGACTGGCAGTAGGGGCAGGGGAGGGGGCACATTGTGGTTGGGGGCCGGGGGGAGACCTCACGGGGACAGCCTATCGTCGGGCCGGGCCCCAGCACGTGGCGTTGGTGCACTGCGGGCTCAAGTGCCTGTCCAGGCTCCTGCCGAAGTCCACAGCCTGGTCGGCCCCACACCACGTGGTCCTCTCTGGCTGTCTCTGAGCCCGTGGTCTCCACCTTCTCGTCCTGTGCCTGCCTCCACTGCCCCGGCAGACCCGCATTTTCCTCCTAAATGCCTCACGCGCACTCAGGGGCTGGTCGGGTCCCAAGACAGGAATGTGGTCACAACCCAGGGGGGGCTTGACAGCTCCTGAGCAGTCATGACATATCCACCTCCAGAATATGCAACGTACTTGTTTCAGCCCCACAAGACCAGGTTCTGGTGTGTCTGCCGCCAGCGCTGTCCACCGTCCAAACTAAACACCAAGGTCCCAGACCGTCTGGGTGCCCGCCTGGCGGGCGCGTGCGTGGACGCGTGTGTGGGGCCCGCGCTCAGCCTGGGGGGGCCCGGGGCTCGGCGCCCGTGGGCTCTGCTTGCTCTGCTTTTGTTCAGCTGTCTCTCTGCTACGTTTCGAGCAGATTTCTTTACTACACTGCACTGGATTGCTATATTTTTAACCAGAAATAAACTAAAGATTAGAGCATGTTCCAGTTAAATTCAGTTCTATTTTTTTTTTCCTGTTACAGACTCACCCCCTGTTCCTTTTCCCAGTTGGGTTGAGTTTGGGGGTCTTCTTCGGGGGAGTGGGGGACACAAGAGAGGGAGGGAGGATCTGCAGAAGATACATTTCTGATGCTGTTACTTTCTAAAGGGATGTTCCATGTTTTTGTACATCTTTGGTTCTTTTTTTTTTTTTTTTACTACCGCGTGGTTGCCGCAGCCCTGGAGAGAACCAAATAAACATGCCTGCTCCTCGCAGCTCTGCGCGTCTGTCCGTGCTGAGTGTGTCCTGTGATTCCATCTGCAACACTTGGTAAAGGTCAGAGACCTCTGGTACCTTCTGGGCACTGCAGGACACAGATGGTACCCGCACAGGCAGGGCACATACTCATTCACACGCAAACACCCTGAGCCACCTGCAAAACAGTGGCAGCACAAACGTCCATCATTCAAGGCAGGGGTCTCACCAGGGGCAGGCTGGTGTCCTACCCCGCGTCCGTCTGCTGGCAGCACCCCTGAAAAGCGGAGCAGCACCCGCCTGGACTGCTGCCATTTCCCTGCACCCAGGGAATCCCAAGTGGGTTCTGCCCAGACCATCACACCCTGGGGCTGATGGGCTCCACAAGCTAGTTTTTAACTGGTTTCCAGACGGTGGTCAAAGACTGGACTGCCCCGCAGGCTGGCCGGCCTACCTGTCAGAACCCCGGGTTTCCCAACAAGCGTGTCCACAGGCTCCCTCAGGGCCAGGCCGGCTGACCCACCACTGCCAGGCACATCCCTGGTGGACACGCGGGACGGGGAAGAACGAGTGTGGCGGCGGCCCCAGTAGTGCAGAGTGCTGGCAGGCTTTAATTAACCCCAAAGCAGCCTCGCGAGAGGCGTCTTGTCCCGACAGCTGCTTCCGAGCTCGAGATGTGAAAACCAGGGCGGAGAAACCAAGAGACCTGGGCTGCTCGGCTGGGCCGTGGAGAGCGGGGCCGGGCCGTCCCCAGGCTGGGAGCTGCACCTGCACCCAGACAACTGACGGGGAAGATGGGGTCCATGCAGAAGAGCTCAGCGTGGCTGCAGGAACACAAGTGAGCCTGCTTCCCTGCTGGACGACCTCTGTAGGGGCTCTGTGGGAGCTAAGGGCACTCTCCCCTTTCCCACCTTCACGAAGCCCACGACTCCCCCAGGTAGTGTGCAGAGCATAGGGCGGGCGCCCAGACTCCTGCACGGCCTGGTGAACGTCCCCCGGCGTGCTGGCCTGCTCATCAAACGGCTCCCTTTCATTTCTAGAGCCCCACTTTGGACAGTAAGTCATATGGCCACCCCACTTAAAAACCTAAGAGCCCCAGGGAGAGGTCCAGGTAACAAGCCCAGGACGTGGCAGACTTGTTGAAGGAGACGAATGTTGGGGAGAGTGAAACAAGCTGTCTCTGTCTTTCACCCTTTTTTAGTTTGAGTTTTCCTGACCCAGCAGCAGGACTGGCCCTGCAGGTCCCCCAGGCTCCTTGGGCGAAGGCCATCTCCTCTGGGTGAAGCTCAGCTCACCCTACAGGGCTCGCCTCCAACTCTTCCTGCTTTTCTCTCAGAAACTTGACGTAACGGTACCTTCCACACATCACAACCCCTCTGCCTACAGCCACACATGGTCAACTCAAGACACCCAGGTCGGACTGTCCTGGTGTGGTGAGTCTTGTGGGGGATGAGGGTTTTCCACCAGGCAGTTTGGTAAGAGGAGGAGCCCAGACAAGGGCGGAGTGACGGGCAGCCAGGCTCAGGCTGGTTGGTCTTGCTCTGCCCAGAGCTGCCCACGTCAGGAACCCGGCAGGAAGCAAGACCGAGAAACCACAGGCCCCAGTTACCAACCATGTCTCTGACTCAGTCAGAAAGGAAGAGAGCACAGCTGCCTTTGTAAAACCAGAGACAAAGGTGTACTTGCACCACGTGTCCATGAGTCTGTGAACACGACCTCTGGGACAGACTGTGCCCTGGCAGTGGGGGTGTGAGGGTGTGGGCACACACACACTGGGGCGCTGGCCACCCCAGGGAGCGGCGGGACAGAGACGGCCAGGCCAGGCAGGGGGGCCAGCAGGAGGGCCCCACGAGGGCGACGGAAGCAGGCACCGCACTGACCGTCCCCTGAAGGGGAGCCCCCACTCCATCCAGGGGATCCCTCTCCACCCAAGGGAGCCCCCTCTCCATCCAGGGGAACACTCTCCACCCAGGGCAGCCCCCTTTCTATCCTGGGGAGCCCCCTCTCCACCCAGGAGAGCCCCCTTTCTATCCTGGGGAGCCCCTACTCCATCCAGAGAGCCCCCACTCCATCCTGGGGAGCCAGTGAGACAAAGGGGTGAGCCCATCCAAAGGTGGGGAGGGGAGGTGGGCTCACCAGCCAGTTAGCACAGCATGGAGCAGGCAGGAGGCCCACGGAGGGCCCGGGCAACCCTGAAATGGCAGACACTCCAGGAGACCCCAGGCCAGGTCTGACGGCACAGCGAGCAGACCACCCACCGACAGGCACTTTATTTTCCAAAGAACCAAGAAAACTGTACAGCAAGCGGTGGGAGGCTTCCGGCACTTTTTAGATAGGAATGAGATGGCTGACCACGCAGTCAGGCAGAGCTGGACACCTGCTCGTGCTGAGGGGAAGCCCCGTGAGCCCTGTATCCCACCAGGCGCTGCACCGTGGGCGTGGCTCACCCTCGCCCTAGTCCAGTCCCGACCTGCCAGCGGCCCAGCCGGACGTGCAGCACAGGAGAGGGGCAGCGGCCTCAGGCCAGATCAGTTTATTTTAAGCTGCAGGGTACTGCACCTCCCTCGGTCCACCTTCCGCCCGCAGTGCGCTCAGGCCGAGCTGTCGTAGAAGGCCTGGGCCAGGGCCTGGGCGGCCCGCAGCACCCTCCTCTCCGGGGCGGCAGGCCCAATGTCGTCCCGTGCACACCTCAGCCAGTGCTGCTCCGTCCTGGGCAGGTACTCTGCAAACAGCTCGCCTGGTGCCACCGAGGGGTGCTCCTCTTTGGTGGGGAAGGAGAGAGAAACATGTTCAGTGAGGAAGGGGCCCACGTCCTGCGGAGCGAGCGTGTGAGCACCCCACTTCCATGGAGGACTGCACGAGGAAAGAGCACAGGTCCCGCTCACAGCAGGTGCTCACACACCTTCCACACAGTGAGACACACACGCCAGCTGCCTGCCTCAGGGGCACGTCTACACAGCAAAGTGAAAGAAGTGAAAGACAGTGTCAGTCACTCAGCCGTGTGTGACTCTGTGCGACCCCGTGGACTGTAGTCCACCAGGCTCCTCTGTCCATGGGAGTCTCCAGGCAAGAATACTGGGCTGGGTAGCCATTTCCTTCTCCAGGGCATCTTCTCAACCCAGCAATCGGACCCGGGTCTCCTGCATTACAGGCAGATTCTTAACCATCTAAGCCACACAGCAAAGTAAGCTTTAACAAAGGCTTAGTAAACTTTAAAATATTGTTACCAAAAAAAAAGGAGGGGAGCTGTGAGCTTGGGGGAGCTGGCCCCTCCCCCTCCTCCCAGTGTGCCCCCCACCCCCCGGCACTCACCCCCACCCTCCTCGCCGCTGTCCTCCTCCTCCTCCACAGCCTCCTCCTCGGCCTCCTCCCCGCCGCCCTCGGCACCCTCAGTCTCCTCGCTGTCCTCGTCCGAGTCGGTCTCCTCCAGCCACTCCTGAGATTCTTTAAGCAAAGGGGAGAACCAGTGTCAGCACGGCTGTCCCAAGGACGCCACCGTCTGCCTAAACACCAGGACGTGAGTGCAGGGCCCACCCAGCATGTCTGGGGCTCAAGGCCAACACCTCATCCCTGCGTCTCCCAGCAGGGCTGGGCCGAGGCTGTGCTCCCGAGACAGGAGGGTCTCACACTCAGGTCTCACACTCAGCCACTCAGAGCCTCTCCCCACACGTGTGGATCTGAAGGTATCTCAGCCTCAGCCCAGGACTGAGCAGTGACCACGTCCATGCAGCCTGCCTGTGGTGTGACGGGGCGGTGGGGAGCAGGGTCCACTCCGGGCACACAGGGCCCCTCGGGGAGGCAGGCATCCAGTCCACACTGCCTGGGGCGGGTCCAGGGTCACGAGTGGTGTTTGGGTGAACCTACACCCTTCCCCTGGCCTGCAGGCACTCTCTGTGGGCGTGGGGTGGACGGCGCTCCCCCTCACCTGGGTCCATCTCTACCAAGACTGTCCACTCCTCCATCTTATGGAGGTCCAGGCAGTAGAGGTCACTGAGGGTCACCTGGCGGTCGCCGGCCTCAAACATGCCGCCGTAGAGGTAGAGGCGCCCGTGCTTCACGGCCAGCATGGCGTTGGAGCGGGGGCTGGGCTCCACCGGGGCGACATCTGCCTCCTCGGGGCTGTCGTCGTCATCCGACTCCAGCTGTCCCACCGCTCCCGGGGCAGCGAGCACCTGTTTGATGGTGACCACGGTCCCGTCCTCTGAGACCACCTCCCTGACTACCTCCAGGGGCTCCTGGGCACTGGGCCCCTTCACTTCCTGCTTGTCGGCGCCCCCGGGCTCCGCCTTTCTGCCCCGCCTGCGCCTCCTCTTCTCCACCTTGGGCCCCTGCAGACAGAGAGCAGGCAGCACGATGAGGCGAGCGCCCGAGCGTCAGAGGACCCGTCCACCGCCGGGCTCACCCGGGGCCACACGCCCGCCGGTGTGACCTCTCGGAGGAACGAGCCACAGACAGCGCTCACGCCGTCCGACCGGTCAGAGGTGCCAGGGCACTTCGTCCGGAGCCAGTCTTCCCCACAGGGTGCACTGCCCCCCTTTGGGCCCTAGGGCCCTGTTTCTGAGGCCCCCGACCTGACGCAGCCCCAGGACAGCAGCCCCTGAGCCTGTGCTGGCAGCAAGGGCAGAGGCGGCCCAGTCCCCGCCTTCAGTGACGGTGAAATGGTGACGATGGCTCCACAGAGCCCCACAGACACGGGGACAGGGGCGGCCCTGAGGTGAGGGAGGTGTCGCAGGCCCGGGGCCCACGCTACCTTCAGC